TCTTTGCCACTGCACGGGTTTTAACAAAGGAAGAAGGAGGGGAGGAGGACTATCTCAGGAACTCCCCTTGTTGCAAAAAAAAAAAAGCGGTATCCCCAAAAAACTCTGGGTTTTTCACTGAAAACTAAAAAAAACAGGAAATTAAAATAAATTTATATAGAAAAAAAAAATTAATAATTTAAATATTTTGTGTATTGTTTTTATTTTTGTTTCTTTAGACTGTTTGTTATTTTTAGCAACGAAATTGGATAAGGCAAACTGAGAAAAAAAAAAAAAAAGTTTTAAGTCAACATTATTCATGCTTATTTAGCTTATTTGGTTTATTTAGTTATAATTAGTAAATAACCGAGGTTGATATTTGATTGGGGCCGGGTTTGATAAAATATAGCTGGGGCCAGGTTTGTGACCTGGGCTGCATAAAAATTTATATATCCTAAAACCTAGTTTTTTTTTAAAATTTATGTTTGATTTTGTATATATATGCATTTATAAACATCATTATGATCAACATGATCATGATCATGATCATCATCATCATGATCATCATAATTATCATCATCATCATCATCATCATCATCATCATCATCATCATCATCATCATCATCATCAGCAGCAGCAGCAGCAGCAGCAGCAGCATCAACCTTCCTCTTTTATGCTATTTTTCTAATCATGGTCAATCCTCAAACAAGCTATTATCTCTATTACAAGAAACCAAAACTCATTCTTGCTTGGCTTCTTATTCAACAAGTTGCATCCTTTTACTGTCTCTGTCCCTATTTATTAAATACTGGCATAAATATATGCCAGAATTTAATAAATAATAAATGCAAGTATAAAATTATAATATATAAAGTAATTAATGTTTATGCAGCCCAAAAATAAAAAATACAAAGTCATTTATTGATATATATATATATATATATATATATATATATATATATATATATATATATATATATATATATATATATATATATTTATATTTATATATATATATTAGGGGTGTCCACTACGCAAAAAACTTTCAAAACCACCCAAATTTAATTTTTTCCCATTCTAGTGTTTGTGTACAGTGTAAAAAAAAGTTTTAATAAATTTTAATGACTATTCTAGAACCCCCTCAAAGTCCCTAAAGATAAGCCCCAATTTCTTGTTTAACCCATTAGTGCCTGAGTTTTTTGTTATATTTTACGATTTATAGAGCGTCCCAATTTTAGGAACGCTAGGCACGAATGGGTTAAAACAGTAGAATATTTTTGCATTGATTACAAATTTCATAAACAAGCAAATTAATATTATGATATTGGCACAATTTAATATGAAATATTGACTGTTATAATTATTTTGCTGTTTCCAGTTTTAGTTAAATAAATTAAAACTGAAATGTTGACAAGAAGTGGTAAAGTTGTAGAAACTGAACTCAAGTCTTTGCCAACCAGTTCCAGTTGTTTGTCAGACACAACCGACCAGCCTTCACTGTTGTCATCATCATCAACAACAAGGCCTGTTACTCGTGCCTCTACTAAGTTTTGGTTAATTGGACACCCATCACCATCAATAACTGGTTCCAAACTACCCAATTGCAGACAGGTTTTGAAATATTTTCTTTTTTATGACGCGATGAAGAAAATGTCAGAAATCACGTAACAAATCAAGAAATTGGCTATGTAGTAATGGACGCTGTTGTAACTTTCTGGAACATGGCACGCATCAAGACAAAGACAAGACAAAATTGGGTGTTAGATCTTATGTGTCTCTGGATTGAGTGGAACCGCTTGTTGAAGAACAAGAATCGCAAATGTGATGCTGGCGGAAAACGTGTTAACTTCTTGGCCAAGTTGGATAGTCTTTTTGATATTGGATCACCTGATGCTATACAGGAAATCATGAAATCCAGGCTACTGACTGCCCAAAAGAAAGATGATGATGTTGCATTCTATTTAGATAAAAAAAAAGACAGAAAGGCGACCATGAACGGGCATAAAAAAATCTTTGAGATTAAAGCAAAAATGAAAGAAGTCAGATATAATCGGAAAATCATACTTAGAGATGAAGAAAAAGAAAGAGTAGAAAAATAAGGTAGACAGGATGATCAGGATGATGAGGACATGAAAGTTAATAACGAAGAACAGAATATTAATAAAAATATTGCTGTTGCTGAAGTAGATATTGGTTTAGGGTGGGACTTGAATTATGAACCTCCAATGAATAGACGATCAGAATCTGTTACTCTTCACCTCCCCAAAAGAATTATGCAATGCGAGGAAATCACTTCTGCAGCAGACAGACTGATATTGTCTGATAATAAAACAACTATGATTGTGTCTGCTGTAATTAAAGCTGCTGGTGGAAACTTGGACGATTTTGATATCTCCAGATCCACATCTCGTCCAACTAGAATGATAAATCGTCAGAGGATTGCTAAGAGTGTTATAGATAATGTGAGGCTCAACCCACCCCAGTTTGGTGCCCTTCACTGGGACGGAAAATTGCTAAAAGACATAGTAGATGTGCAACATGAACAGTTAGCTGTGCTTGTGTCGGGTGCTCCAGAATACAGTGAGGGAAAATTGCTTGGTGTTCCCATTCTCGTTAATTCGAAAGGACAGACTCAAGCAAATGCAACATTGGATCTCCTAGAAGCTTGGGATCTAAGCAACAATGTTGTGGCATTGGTATTTGATACCATTGCCAGTAATAGTGGCATCCATAATGGTGTTGCTAAATTGATTGAAGAAAACTTAAGTAGAAAACTTCTCTATCTTGCCTGTCGACATCACATTTTTGAAATCTTTGTCAGAGCATGTTGGAAGAAATTATTCAGAAACATTTTTGGTCCAGAAAATAAATTCTTTGCTGAATTTAAAACTGCTTGGCCAGCATCGGATAAACAGTTGCCAATTAAAGCTTTAACTGTTGAAGGCACCTGGTTGCAAAACCTCAAAGAACAGATCATACAGCATTTGACACATCTACTTGTTAATGAAGATGCTACAACATTTCCAAGAGATGACAATCGTGAATGTGCTGAGAACACACTGATCATCTTTGGGAAAACTCCACCCCGGGGTGTACACTTTCTTAAACCAGGAGCTATCCACCAAGCTTGGTGGATGGCATGTAACATTTATGCGAACAAAATGTTCATGTTTTCTAAACAATTGCCTTACGATCAGAGGATGACGACCAAACTTTTTAGAATGAACAGATATTTTTCTCTTTTCCATACACCAGCTTGGACAAAAGCTAGCATTGGTGCTGACGCACTTATGAATGACCTGAAATTCATCCACGACATGATGGACTGAAAAGAAATAAACAAGGAAGTTGCTGATGTCATTCTTTCTAAAATAACCAATCACCGATGGTATTTGACAGAAGAGGTAGTTCCATTTGCTTTCTTCAGCAAACATGTTAGTTCCACTGTGAAAAAAGATATGGCAGCCTAACTCTTGGAAATTCCAGTACCCAAAAATTTTCGTCTTGGTAAGCCAGTTTTTTGTCAAATCACTCGTCAAACAGGTTTGTCAAATCTTCTGGGACCTGAATCTCACTTATTGTTCAGCATTCTTGGCATCAATACAGATTGGCTTGCTAAACCAATTGAACAGTTGACAGAGCAACCAGGATAAAAAGAAGCTGAAAAATTTGTTCATACGGTAAAAGTTGTAAACGATACTGCAGAAAGAGGAGTTAAACTGATTTCAGAATTTGCCACCATCATAACCAGTGATCCGGAACAAAGAGAATGGTTGCTGCAGGGCATTGATAAATCACAGGCAGCAATATCCTGATTGCTGCCTGTGATTTATCAACGTGATAGTTGACATATTTATTATTTTTGTTGATTGACTTATTAAGATAGAGCAGATTTGTGTCATCAGCAAAGTATTGGACTCAACAAAATGTTATGGGTTTGGATAAATTATTTATATAGATTAAAACTATTAATGGACCCAGTACAGACCCTTGAGGCACACCAACAGTGACAGAAATATTAGAGTTTGATCCATTGACAGACACAAACTGTTTATTATTTGTAAGGAAAGAGTTGAACCAGGAATTTGAAACTCCTTTTATACCATAGTAAGCTAGTTTTTCTAATAGAACTTTAATATCCACAGTATAAAAGGCTTTTTGAAGGTCTATAAAGATACCACAACCAAATAATTCTTTACCAAAAGCACTTCTAATATTTTTAGTCATACTTAACAGGGCAAATGATGTAGAATAATTTTTTCTGAAAACAAATTGTAAATCACACAGAATATTAGAATTGTTGAGGAAATTGTAAACTTGAATTTGGTGAGAAGTTTGATAGGTAGCCAGTTAAGTGATTTTTAGATAAAGGAATGTTTGATTAGACGTCTAATAAAAAATACATTGTTTCTTTCATAAACAGCTGGATTTTTGTTAGATATTACTTTTAAGTCGTAACGAGCAATCAGAAATTGAAGGAGGTGAAGGGATATATAAGTCGTAATGAGCAATCAGAAATTAAAAGGAGGTGATCAGATATAGATGCTGTGAAATTACCTGCAGTAAAGTTATTTGATTCAAGGTTTGAAAATATGTTGTCAATTTATGTTTTAAATTTATTAACCATATGAGTAGGATGAAGAATATAAGGCAAGAAGTAGTTAGAGAACTTAAATTCAAGAACTCTAAAGTTGAATGCACTTTTAATTAAATCTAGTAGACAGTTTTATTTTCTTTAAAAAGTTAGTAAGTAATGGAAAAATATAGAGTGTATTAATAAATATATGTGATTATATATATATATATATATATATATATATATATATATATATATATATATATATATATATATATATATATATATATATATATATATATATACTATATATATATATATATATATATATATATATATATATATATATATATATATATATATATATATATATATATATCAAATAACAAGTAAACTAAAAACAAACAAAAATTGTTATTTTATTAAAAAAATTGCAAAACTAAACCTTTTCCAGCACCAGTAACAAGAACTTTTTTTCCAGAAAAATTGTATGCCATTTTTTTATATTTATTATGTTGCAAATTACTTCTTACATAATAGTATTAAATTAAAAATAAAGTCATTAAGTAAACTGCTAAACAACTGCTTTATTAGCAGTTGTTTAGCAGTTTACTTAATGACTTTATTATTAACACTGTAAAATTTATTAAAGATATCAATTTTAATTTTAATTATACAGGTAGCATGAAATTAATGCATTTAAAGATTAACTATTATTTGCATGAACTTAGAGTTTAATTGTATTAACAGTATTGAATTTTAGAAATATTTTATTGAATTGTTATTACATATTAACAACAAACAAATAATAGGTTAAGATTTTGTGTATTCAAATAACAATGTAATTACAATGTCTCATTGAATGTGTACTACAATGTAATTACAATTTGTATTACAAATAAAAAGGGAATATGATAATATAGAGTTGTTGTTAAACAAACAACTTGTTTGTAATAAAGAAGACAAAAAATTTTAGAAACTGCATTAATTTAAGGAGCTATGTTAAATATTACAAAAAACATTTAAAAAAGCTTATTTACAACTTTAATTAAAATAAATAAATAAACGAAATAGATTATTGAGTCTGGTGGACTATACCTAACTTTACGGTATAAAACAAAATATCCGGTATATTTGGGTATACCGGATATAGTGGAGAATTTAGTAAAATTGATGGTTGTTTTTTGAACAGCATTTCGTTAAAAAAAACGTATTTTAAACGTTTATAAGACGTCTTTTTAGGACCAATAGCCGATTGGTAATAATCAGTTATAGTGGCAATTAGCAGGCCGTTCGAGAGTCAAAAATGGAGAACGGCGCACTTATTACAAATAAAAAACTGCAAAATTTAAAATATTGTACACGCAGTAAATATTTACTTCTGATACAGCACATTGTATTTCTGCTATACTATTAATTCTCTGGGTTGAGAAACGGTTTATTAATCAAAACTGACATATTAATCAAACATTAATTTTAAAACTAATAACCAAAAAGTTAATCAACAAAATCTTTAAGAAGGTCAAATAAGGCGCTTAAAGATGGTCGAGCGGAAAGAGTTTTTTACAACTTTTAGTATTTTAAACGATCGATCACTCTCAGCAACTGACTCAGGAATAGTGTTGAAAATCCGAACCATGATACAAATGTTTGCAATAAGATATTCAAACTACTTCTCAAAGGTTTAATTGAGTAGCTGCATTGAATTTCTTGAAAACATGCTTGAAAACTGTTTTGTGGTCATTTTTAAAACGGCAAACTTCTTTGATAGGATCCTTTTTCTTCACATCTCTCGGATAAAACCGTGCAAATTCACAAGTTTTATTTTAAACGGAAAGATCATCATTATCTAACCACCCCGCTCCCTCAAATCGTGAATCAATCAGACCAATCTAAACCAACATTAAACACGTTTATTTTGAATTCTTTCGTTTGGCTGTCGTGGAAATAGGCTGTGTTTGATGCTTCATCGTGAAGGTTTTACCTAACGCATTCTTTTAGTAATGAGTTTAGTATCAAATCCTAGCAATCCAGATACAGCTACAACTTCTTGGAAAACCTTCAACCAAGAGCCCCTATTCCGTTTAAGATCTTCCAGCAGCAATCCAATCAAACGTAGCTCGTCTTTAATAGTAATGATCGTAAAGTGAAACGTAGCTTGTCATCAATGGCTTCAGATTGTAGAAGACAACTAAAGCCGTTAACAGCAGTAAGGGTTTTGTCTTAAGTCTCTTACTAGGCTAAGCTGCTCACTGGTCAGATCCAGGTTTTTCATAACATGTTTAAAAGCTACCAATATTTCTCTCTGCCTCTTGGCAATTAGTTTGATCAAGTTGGTACAAGAGCTTCATCAAATCATAGAAAGTCTATGCAATGAAATATCTGTCGCTTTAGTGAGGTTTTTCCATCGGGCTCTAAAAAAATACGTACCATTAATTAAAAATTAAAAATACGAATAATTTTTCCTTATTTAGGCTTGAGTTTCCTTGTCGGCAGCTGATATATTGAACCCAGTTTTGAATATCTATATCTAGCCTTGAAATTACATAAGAGATAAGCTTAGCTATATTGATATCTTCAGCTTTAAAGCTTCAACACACAATAATCGTTTTTTGATTTGCTTGCGATTAGTTTCTCTTTCACAGAAAAGAAAACGAATGACAAAAGTTGTCTGTTCAGTTTGAGATATATTGGGGGTATCATCGACTAAGATTGTGGAGTAGATACCATCCTGAATTTTTTTGATAGCTGCACTTTGGGTGACGCCACAGTATTCTCTGATGAACTCATTTTGAGACGTCGGAGAGAAGCAGGACCGAAGACACGGGTTTCAAAGTTAAAGAGCACAATCATCAATTTTAAAAAAAAGTCCTTTATATCTACAGTCTTATTATTTATGGCGTTTTATATTTTCCGAATGGGATGCAATGACGGGCTTATGGCAATCAATAAGCTCTTTACTAGAAAGAAATTTCCCATTTTCTTTCCCATTCACGTGTGTTGTTTCACCTGCGAACATAATTGTATATAATAATTACAATTAGATTATTACAATAAATATAACCCGGGCGTCCCTTCAAGCTTGGCGTCTGTTTGCTCTCTTTGTCCCTCCCTCTCGTAGGCCCTGGCAATCAGCAATCACAATAATAAAACTTACTTACGCAATCTAAATAATAATAAAATCACAATAATAAAACTACTTACGCAATCACAATAATAAAATTTATATCTTGCTTCCTAAAAAATAGATATTGAATGTATATTTTTTTGCTTTATTTCTCAGCAGCAGAGAAAACAGTATTATTTTAATCGTCATTTGAGATTAAAATAAAATACATTTTAATTTTTAGAAATAAAAGTTAAATATTTTAAAATATATAACAGTTGAATATTTTTAAACAAATATGAACTAAGAACAACGAGCATTTTTTTAGTAAACAACATTAACCAATTTATTAAAAATCAAATTGGGAGAGGGCAAAATAATGTGAATATAAAAAAATATATATATATTAATTTTTGTATATCTATCTGCGTCTTTGTATTATCTATTTTTATTTTTCTAGAAAGTTGATTAAAAATTAATTACCTAACAATAACTTTTAAATTAGTTTGCTATCTCAATTTCCATACTGCAAATATTTAATTAAAAATATAACGACTTTAATTTTCTTTATTGCCTACGTTACAAAGTAACAATTCATTTATGAATATAACAATGCTTAAATTAAAAATGCACCTAGGCGTAAAACGCGCTAGGGCTCGGGGGCGAGAGTCACATCCGGGAATTTTTTTCTGGGGATCAACCCAACCCAGTAAAATTTATCATACGTTCAAAAACTAATAAAAAAATGGTAAATTGTCCTAAAAAGCAGAATTAGCTCTCGCCTAAAATTGAAAACAAAATCCTACAAGAGTTTGTTCATGCAACGCTTCATGAATTAAGTGAGTATAATTGATTTATAATTTTACATGGATCAATAGAAAAACATTAATATTAATAACTATACCGCAATCATGGTCAGAGGATTTTGAAATCATTCTGATAATTCAACCAACAGTAAGTTAAAAACAGTGGGTTTTGTGGAACCTTTCCGTAAGTTCAAAGAATTTTTCAAATTTAAAGTTTGGCGCATAATCTTTACGATAATTGAGGATGCTAATACAGCACTCCAAAGTAAACATTATTTTCTTTAATAGTGTTTTTTTCAAAGTATACTATTTTAAGCAAATTATAATAATAAACTTTTATTGAAAAATATTTTAAGCAAACAGCTCAACTTTTGTAAAGGAAAAAAAAAAAAAGGCATCAACGCGCTAAAGGAGGTGTTAAATGTAGGCCTGAGCGATATTCAATTTAAGGTCTATGACTGTAATATACTTGACAAACAAAAAAGTCAATTACTCCATGAAAATATAAGATTGCAACACAATTTACTCGAAGTGGAGTTCCATTTTACTACGACTCCAGAGGACCACTACCACCAGCATTTTTATGCATCTCTAGATTGCGTTAGAACAGGATTTGCAACCCAACTTGAACCAATAGAAACCACTGAGCGTTTAACAAATTTCGAAAAAATTATCATTGTTAAATACTTGAATGAAGGATTCGTTGCAAAGATCACGCAATTTTTCTTGGATCGTATCAGGTTCAATAATACTAAACTAAATTAACTAAAATTAGTTTTAAGTATGTTTGTAGGTAGAATGATTTCTTTTCTAAATTACTTTCACTTTCCCATGTTTGTAAAACAGGTAAAGGTTTTACTATGTTTGTCACATCTAAAACGTGTAACTTTTTTCTTGTCACATCTGGTACGTGTAAGTTTTTTTCTCGTTACATCTGGTACGTGTAAATTTTTTCTTGTCAGTACGTGTAAGTGCCATTTTTCTTGTCGTCGTAGGCTTATCATCTATTTGAATTAAAAAATGTCTCAAAAGCGATGTAATCACCTTGCTCTTTTGAATTGCCATTGCGATATTATCTACACACTTGATCTAAATCTTTTAATTGATGAGTTGGCAAAGCGTACTTTTATATGTATGAACACATTTTACTTGGGAAAAGAAATTGCATTTTTTTGTCTCTTAAAAATGAACGCAATCTTAGTTACTATATAGTATTTATACATTATAAATATATACCAAAATTACCGTCTGTATAATACAAGTAAATCTATTGTTATTAAATGTGCGTATAATAGTTATTTATTTAATAACAATTGTAAACACATATAGTTTTATATTTCAGACAAACTTAATATAAATCTAATCATGGTGATGATGCAAGTGATGCGCATGCAATCTGTAATAACTTTAAAAGAATTATTAAACATTGAACTAAGGAGGCTCAGCAAAAGTGTTTTAGTTCAGTACGATTGCACAATTCAATCATGAAAATATTGTAACATATAATTCTTCAAAATATCGACTTTTTCAACTCATTTCAACCAATCATTCCTAGCATGTAATAACTTCAAGCAAATTTAGCAACAAAAAATCTTCACCTTATTTTATTTTTTAAGATGTGCCAACAAGATGGAACAGTATTT